GCAGGATCCAGCACCCTAACCACATGCCACTGGCTTGCCCATCCAAAATATTTAATCCATGCTGAGCTTCCTTTTATCCTTTCGAAAGCTAAATTCAGAACAGAGGAAAAGAAATCTGAAAGTAGCTGTGCTTATTGTTGTTGTTTAAATTAGGGGACTGAGGGCTACTCCATGGTCTGGAAAATTCTCTGATTCAGGATTGAACCATATCTCAAGCCAGCATCACAGTCTAATAGTTAAGGGAGCATGATCCCACATGGCTGACTGTAGTTTGAATCCCAGCCCTGGGGACTTGAAGAAACACCCTGGCTGCATGTGCATGTGTGCCCCAAATCCTGACAGGATGGAGAAATGAAGAGATTTAATGGTGCGGCCATCTTCCACTGGGGGGAGAGGGGAGGACTTTCTTTCTCTGAATCTAGTGAATGCACATGCCCTCTGGGAATTAAAAAATTAAAACAATTTTTATATTACTTCTACTTTTTAAAGGTACTATGCATAATAAGGGGTTGTCATTCGAATGATCTTTGGAGACTCAAAGTGTGTGTCTATCTGTTTTACCCATTACATCATGCTATCTATGAACAAGTAAATAAACTAAGTGATCCAAATAGAAGTAGAAACAGAATTAATGTTATATGAAAATGTCTTAGACTGCAAAATTTATAGTCAGAACAATACAAGTCTAATTAGTTGCAGAGCACAAGAATCAGAAACAGACTAAAAGTGAAATTCAGTCTGTAATTGGTTGCTACTATCACTATTATTTTCCACAGCTGAATTCTCAGAGATCTTGTTGGACACAGGAAAAGTTGGAAAACAGTTCTGTTACTTTGAACAAAAAGTATTTCAATTCAAGAGTTCACTCAGACCAGTAAATGTGGGGAGGGGAGGGTTAGAGAGGGTGAAAGAGCAAAGCGACTCTCTTCATTCCAGATGTAGCTATACGCCACAACATTAGAAAAATAGGCAGTGAAAAACTGACGGAGTGGGGACACTTTAAATTTCTATATGATCTCAGAATTTAGCTGGCATTTCCACCTACAAGGGAGGGAGAGCAGAGAAAGGAGGGATGAGGACGGGAACAAGGAGTATCATGTGGACAACCTTGTATTTCTCTGGTTCAATCTTCAGCAATCCTCCATTTATATAAATATAATAAATTATAATCTAGGGCCTGGTGGTGGCATGGTGGTTAAAATGGCCATGTGGCCAACAACTAGGTACAAGTCCCAGACCCAGCAGCTTGAGAAACAAACTACGTGGGCCCCAATTCCTGACAGAATGAAGGAGAAATGAATTGTGACATGCCATTTCCCTTGGGGGTGCTTTTTCACTTTTCCTCTTTCTCTGGTGAGCACAAATGCCCTATATCAAATTTAAAAAAAAAATGGGGCCAGCAGATGGCGTGGTGGTTAAAGGCGCTAGACTCCCACATGGCCAACCGTGGTTCGAGTCCTGGGCCTGGCAGTTTGCTTTCTCATTCCCCTCGCCCCCATCTCTCTCTAGTCACATTTAAAAAATAACTGGAACTAAATAATTTTTTAAAAGTTATATATATATATATATATATATGAACCAACATCATGATGCAGTAGTAATGTGCTGCTCAAAAAAAGCCAGATCCCACATAGTAACCATGGTTCAAATCCCTGGCCTGGGCAATAGGAAACATGCCAAGCATGCATATCGTTAAGTGCCCAGGAGCTAATGGGCTAGAAGACTGGCAGATGGGAATCCTGGCATGATCAGACCTTGTAGAAGGTTTTCTTCAACTTCACTCTCACGTTGGCACACAAGCACTTTATCATTAAATCCTTTCTCCTCTCAGGCTCTTGGGCATGCATGCACATGTGCCCAGCGTGAAATTCAAGCCACCAGGTCCAGGACTTGAACCTTTACATACATATATGCACATTTTTTTTTCTTTAGTGAAATAAAAAGCTAGCTAGAATTGCTAGATTTAGTCATAGGGGACTAACTTTTGAATTAAAACACTTGTGCAAATTCTTCAAAACTGGTCATCAATCAAATGTCATAATTCCAATATAAAGGAACAGATAACAAGGTTCTCCTGACCCAGCTTCCCAAAAATTGAAGGCCAAAAATAATTAAGGATTCTGATGCCATCACAATTCAAGTCTAGTGTTTAGCTTAAAACTGAATTCAGAATTCCTATTATGCCACAATCCTTTCTATACAGAAATTACATCAGTAAGCAGTCCAAGGTTAAGTTTGATTTCTTCTCTTTTTACAGTATTTTAATAAAGTAAAAAAATTGGTTTTGCTCTAATTATGTAAAAGTGTCCCTTATTTATCTTATTCTGTACTAGAAATATTGGCTTTTTAACTGTCTTATTAAAGACCAAAAATTCTTGGGCCTAGGGCCACTATTTTTGCTTCTGGGACTTCAGCCTGTTTCTTTTTATAAAATGCACTCACTGCCAGTTGTCCCTTGCGGGTTGTTTTCTCTCCAACTAACTAGTTTTACTCCCTCAACTCTTCCCATCTTGCTGACTCCAAAGACAGGACAGTTTTGTTGTTGCTACTACTTATCATTAAGTAAGAGAGGATAATGAAAATAATACACATGAAATAGTCTAAATTAGTAAATCTTGGTTGCCGGGACCAGCAGATGGCTTAGCAGTTACATCATTGGAATGCCACATGACAAACTACAGTTCGAATATTGGACCCGGTGGCTTGAATTTCATGCTGGGTGCATGTGCTTGTGCGCCTAAGATCCCAGGAGGAAAATAAAGAAGAGACTGCGGTGTGGCCATCACTCCTGGGGGTGATTTCTCACTTTCCCTCTCACTGTCTCTGTCTCTTTCCACCCCACCCACAGCAAGTGCATGTACCCTAAGGCAAAAACCTCTACCAAAAAAAAAAAAATTTGGTCCCCAGTTTACTGAGTTTTCTTGCTAAAAGTTAATAAAAAATGAAGATGTTAGTTTTCATACCTTTCTTCCAGATAGTTTAAGCAGACGTAAACCTAGAGATAATCTCAAACCCACCAGACCTAATGAATTATTATTATTTTAGAGGTTTTTTTTGATGGCCACGCTGCAATCCCTTCTCCTCCATTCTTCTCTCAGGATCTTGGGCACACACGCAAACGCGTCCGGTGTCAGTTTTAAGCCACCGGGTCCGGGACGCGAACCGCGGTCAACTACGTGGGAGTCCAGCAACATAGCCATTACACTAACTTCTGGTCCCATGAATTATTATTTATTTAATTTGAACAGAAAAAGACAGAGAAAAAAAGAGGGTGAGAGAAAGTGAGAAAACAAGCCACCAGGTCCAGGACTCAAACTGCGGTTGGCCATGTGGGAGTCCAGTGCTCTTAACCACCACACCACCTGCCGGCCACAAGAAAGCAGTTTTTAAAACTTTCCTAGAGGGTACCTGCGCTTGTAGGAGAGACAGAGCGAATGTGAGAAAGCGTTCCCTATGGGGTTGGTCATGCCACAATCCCTTCCTCTCCATTCTCCTCTCAGGATTTTGGCCGCACAAGCACACATGTCTGGTGAGTTTTTCCAGCTTCCACTCTGGGACTCAACTGCACAGGCAGCCACGTGGGATCCAGCCATCTTAACTACCATGCCACTAGCTGGACCAAGAAATTATTTAATAAAAAACCTTTAAGTCAACTGTTTCTGTTGTATAATAAAACCATTTTTAGAATATGTACTGTGTACTTAAAATATATACTCACTCTTCTATCAAAGAAAGGTAATTTTTTTTGAGTAATAAATTCTTAAAGACATCTAAAGAATCTTGCTAAAACAACATTGTAAATTTATGAAATGGAATTTAAAATGTACCCTAAGCCCAGTCTCTGATCTTTTTGCATTTTTAATATCTGGTGTATTCATAAATTTGGATCTGTTTTCCTAGTGTGGAAGTGTATTAGAGATGGGATGACATGAAGGCTGGTAACTGTGGTTAATTAAAAGAAAACATTTCAACCTAGTCCACTCAGTTCACTTCTCCAGTTTCACTGTGCATCCCAAGTTCTTTAATTATGGAAAGATGTTCTTTCTGGGACCAGAGCAAACTTCTGATGAATTACACTAAAAATTCCACCTAACCTACAGGACATCATTCCTTTAGGTCATCCATGGAAATAATTTTTGTCATAAGAAAACTGTACTGGAATTTCACCTATAATGACAGTAAGGCTTCTTCACATTTACTGAATAACCAATATGGATCAGGTAAATGTTAAGAATTTTGTATGAAGTGGTATTTAATCCTCTCAACCACCTTAGGAGTTAGATATGATCATCATTATCCCTGTGTTATAGATACTTCCGCGGCGTATTTAACCATCAAAGGAGGCAATGCTTTTAAAAGTATACTTTTGATTTAAAAATGAAAATGTTTTTCCTAATACAATTATTTTTCATTTTTACTGTCCCTGAAGATGAATATATTAAACATTGGAAATGTGAAAAACGGAGAGTCAGATCAAAAAACTCATGTTTTAAAAGAATATAACTTAATCAGTTACTTGGTATGCCATCAAAAGTATCTCAAAATAAACACAAATTTCAGTTTTTCATTTAACAACACTAAAGAATGAGGTATATAGATGTTTTAATCACAGACTTTTACTGTATGCAATTAACTGTATTTCACAACTAGCATCTTACAAAAAAGACAGTACCAATTGTGCCTGGAAAAAGTACTGCAATTAAACAGAAAAGTACATTATCACGCAAAACCACCAAATATCACAACTGTCAGGGTCTACAGTTCTATTTTTTCCTTCAAATGTTATAATGATGTCTTTTACGTGATATTTTGTAGCCAAGCTATATTTTTAAGTTCATTACATTCTAGAAGTCTCCTATAGGTGGATAAATACATTAAGCAAATGGATAAGAGAAAGTAGGAGACCCTAGGAGAATTTAAGAAGTACTGTGTGGTTTCTAGGTTGGATTTTTAAACACAACATAAAACACTATATTAGTTGTAAACAAAAATGCAAAATCTGTAGTCATAAAAATATTTTATTGGTAATTTTACATAATAGTGAGTGGGGCTGTAAATACTTTTTTATTTCAAGATATTGATAAATGCATAAACTGGCAGTTGTGTCTGAAAATAGGGTACTATGATTTTCATAAGAATTATTGTATTTAATAAGAGGCCAATTAAACTGATTTAAGACTAGTTATTTCCCAGTCTGTGCAACAGTTCTCCTGTCTATATTAATTAGATTCATACTTCTATGACCCTGGATAAGTTAAGTTCGGGGCAAGAAAACAGTGATAAAACTACCATTAAGTTAAAGCTTTTCCAAAATTGCAGCTTTTAAAATATGGCAAGTTTTTCTCTTCTGTTTTTGCCAAATGCTTATATAACTGTTTGAATTTTACGTTTTATATAATACAGAAAATAACCAGTGTTCAATGACAATAGCACTAAACCTGAATTATAAAGCTAAATAATCATGTTTTATTGTTTACTAGTTTGCTAGTAAACATTACAATAAATGAAATAAATGTTTTGGGAAACAAGCAAACGAACAAACAAACAAAAAGAAAACCCAAAAAAATGGATATAACCAGAAGCATAATTCAGGAACAATAATTTAGTAAAATGTGTCAAAAACATTGGCAAAGGTTCATACAAATTCTTTATTTAATAACAATTTTCCTATTTAACCACACCAAGTACCAGCAGGTGTATTTAAGAGGATAACCATTAAGAAAATTCTGTTGCAGCAATAGTTGATTAAGTTGATCTTTGACTTGTATACATATAACTATTTGTTTCACAATTCTCAAATAATACATATTTAGGCAGCTTGCACTATGTTATAAAAAATTTAAATTCGTTACATGCCAATAGTAGAGAATTCAAGAATTATGTGTTAGAATTCACTAAACTAAAAGTGAAAATAGACTTACCAATAACACTGCATAATGAATAATTCAACCACATTTTCATGGCACTTGACTGCAGAGACCAAAATGTTAAGTCTGGAAATGTTTGGTAGGCACAGTTTAATGAAATCTAACTAATCTCTATTTTATGTAAAACTCAAATTATGGATTGTGCATGAATGTACTTGTCATGAAAATGTGGTACTTCTTGGCATAATCTGTGTATTTGCAATGGTAGGGGAGAAGTGACTAAGAAACTGGAGAAAATAAACTTTAATGAGATTCTCCATTCAATGATGAGGCTTCTCCTCTGGGCGAAGATGACCGGGACATTCCCCTCTCTGTGTTATCGGAGCTAGAGCCACTCTGACTGTGTTGATCTGCAGAAGCAGCACTAGATGCAGGTGGTGACTTTGTTTTCTCCTTAAAGTCTGTAATAATGACTGTCAGATCTCCAACGGTAACTTCCAAATGCTGAGCACTACTCCGATCCACATTTTTCAATCTTGGCCTAAACACAAAAATATAATGACATTTGAAACTAGCTTTTCCCTCTACCAGATTTCTAAGCACATATTTAATAGATGAGGTAAAAGTAACAGAATGAATACATTTATATTCACAGTGATTTGTGTATGTATTATATAACCAGCCACAAAAATATCAGTAATACTTCAACCATTAACATTAATTACACCAATCATTTATGAGGCCTCTCTATTATGACAAACTGACAATGTGGAAGTAGTGGTCTCTTAATCGTGATTTTATAGCTACATCATAATTTTGTATACAGCTTATAAAACTTATTAAAATGTTTGAGGACAACAATGAAACAGTTGCACCACAAAGGAGGTTGATGAAAGCTAGGGCTGAGCTATACATGCACTGTTAAGGGTACCACAGTTATTCTGACAGGACCCATGACCATTTTAATTGGTTAAAGACCAGGCAAATATCTGTTCAGTATTTTGAATACCACTCCTGGTTTTTAAATAGCTTTTTTTTCATAATGAAAAAAGAACAGATACAAACGTCTTCTAATTCAGGAAAAAGAAAAAAAAAAGCCCATTGTATATTTAAGTTTATATTCATGGTCTCTGTTTAATTTCCAAAATATCTTTCAAACTCAGTTAGAAACTTTCAACATTCTTTATAAGAGATAAATATCTTTTACTTCTACTTTCTGTATTTGAGCATATATCAGTGTTTAAAAAATATTAAACCATTAGTTTTATTATTTCAAAAGTGTCATATAACAGTCTTCAAATTTACCTGGTTTTCTTATGACTGTTCTTTTTGCTAGTTGTTTCCTTTTCACTTTTTTCTTTTTCTACTTTATCTTTTTTCTCTTTCTTTGACTGTGTAGGGGGCACAAACTGCTGAGTAACCTGCTGTGCAACCAACTGGGAGACAGGTCGAGGTTTCCTGTGTGCATGTTAAAAAGAAAGGTTTTTAATACTGTAACTTAAGGATGTATGTTCGTTATGAGAGAATATCTCATGATCTAAGAATATATATTATCATGATTTTCCAGTATAAAAATTCCTCACATGTAAGGTGATTCCGATAACAGTTGGAGAGATACATATTACTGTCTTTCCTATTCATTAAAAAAAAAAAGGTTAAAATTTATAGCCCAAAACATATGGTTGAACCATCAGAATATAACTATTACATAAATCAACATGAGAAATTATTAAGAAATGGATATCGGATGCAATGTTCATAGGCAGGCACATATAAACATGAATTCAAAAAATTAACCATGAAAGTTTACAGTGAAACATTTTAATTTATCCTTCCTCCTTCAAAGAATGGAATGCCTAATATCTGTGACAGGGGTTATTTGTTTTCTTCTAAAACTTCATTTTTTTATTTAGTGAATATTTATTTACTAGGTGTCAAAACTTCTTGCTCCTTATTGCTTAAATCCTTGAAGTACCTCTGACTCTAGCCACAATCTCACTATGCTTTCTTGGCCTTGAAGATCTACCCAGTCCTTTAAGACTTCCTTAATCTTTAACAGTATTTTTTGAGAACCTACTGCAGGAACTGATATTTCAATGTTAGGAATGGATATCTACACTGTTGTCAGCTTTCAACGTTTGGTGCTAGTACAAGCTGTCACCCAACTGGCCTAGAGTCAAGGACCCCTCCAGCTTTATCACAAAACTGGGATAACTAGGGTCAATCTTCAAAGTAACTAGTCTCTAAGGTCTTGAGAGAAAGAAGGATAAGGAGGGGGAAAGGGAGAGAACAAAGAAGTTGAAGAAAGTAAGATAAAAATACATTTTAACAGATCATCTACAAAATAATGCTTGGAAAATCTTGACTCTATTTTGGTTAGTAGAGTATTTTTGTTTTGGTTTGGTTTCTCTGCAAGAGAAAACAAAAGATTATAAAGAGTCAAAGCTGCAAGACTGGGAGGAAATAGAAAACAGTATGTAAAAAGTTTTCAGGAGACAGATAATGAACTTTCTTCAGAGCCTACACAGTCTGAAGTACTTGGAAGGATATATAAGACAGATGTCCAACACACAACTTAAACAGGATTGACACAAAAATCAGGGTTAGAGATGTCTTAAATAGATTAAGAGTTACACAAATAAAAATGATATTGGAAGTGCGGGAATTAATGGCTAAGCTTCTTAACAAAATGATCTTAGAAAAGGAAAGGATTAATGCAGGGGTTCTCTGATTTAAAGCACACTGTAATCACCTGGAAGGTGTGTCAACCCTACCCCAAAGTTTCTGACATGGCGGTCCTTGGGTGGAGCCCAAGAATATGTATTTCTAAATAGTTTCCAAGTTATGCGGTTATCTCTGATCCAGGACAACACTTTGAAAAGAAGCTTGAAGTGAAATATATTGTGAATACTGGCACTGCTACAGCATAAAGATTGAGATGAAGAGCAAAAATGTGGCAGAGAAATGGGTCAATAAAGAAAAGCTCAGGAGTTTGATTTACACTTAAAGATGGGAGGTCACTAAAGAAGTTCAGACTTGAATTTTACAAAAATTACTAGCATCATTCTGGAACTGAGAGGTGCTAAAAGCAGCAAAGAGCTATTCACAGATCAGGCACAATTTAAAAGAAAAAAATGGAAGGAAGGGAGGGAGTGCTTAAACTAAGGAAGCAGCAGCAGTGGGGTTAAGACAGGCTGAAGCAGCAGAATCAAGAGAAAATGGTGACTGATTATATATGTCTTCTTTACTTCTCAACCAACAAATAATTCATTGAGTGAAACACACAAAATTCTTCCCTCATGTGGCAAACACTGGGTGGGTGATCTAGATTGAATGCCTTGTGTTCCCATAAATTCTCATGTTGAAACCTAACCCCCAATGTGATGGGCCCAAAGACAAAACATAGGTTTAGATGTTAATAAGTCTTAGGGAGAAAGTTTAAATGAAGAGCACAGGGAATGTTAGAAAGGGAGTACAATTTTAATTTATCATCTGTTTCCTCTTCTAGGCTGTAAACACCGCAAGGAAAGGCATGTACCAGCTTTATGCGTCACTGTATACCTAGGACCTAGCACCGTACTGAAAAAAATACTAGGTACTCAAACGATTATTTGTTGAAGAATGAGTTAATGATAAAATCAACATTTAATGAGGGAAAAAATTTTTTTAAAAAAGGGTACATATTGGGACCAGCAGTTAGCATAATGGCTATGTCTCTGGACTCCCATGTAGTCGACCGCAGTTCACGTCCCGAACCCGGTGGCTTAAAACTCAGACAGGGCGAGTGTGCATGCGTGCCCAAGATCCCGAGAGGAGACTGGAGGAGAAGGGATTGTGGCGTGGCCATCACCCCTGGGGGGTGATTTCTCGCTTTCTGTCTCTCTGTCTGGTGAGCGCACGCGCCCTATAGCAAAAACCTCTCCAAAAAAAAGGGTACATATTACCAGGACCAGCAAGTGGCGTGGTGGTTAAGGTGCTGGACACTCCACAACCACATTTCGAGTCCCAGACCTGGTGGCTTGCTTTCTCACTTTCTCTCTCTCTCTCTCTCTCTCTCTCTCTGGTCAAATTAAAAAATAAATGAATGAATAAATAAAATTAAATAATTCTAAAAATTTCAAAAATAAAAAAGATTCTTATTGCCTATAAGCTTACTCACTGGCCAGAATCAATGACTCATTACACAAAAGTAAACAAGCAGTGGAAAAAATAACAGCAACGAGAACTTAATTTCTCTTTTAATCATGTTGAAATATGGGGAAAAAAAGAAAGCTTGAAGGTGTAGCAAGATTACAAAAAGATTTATTTAGGGTAATGCCTAATGAACGATGAGTCATTCAAAACTGAGAGTCACTCCAAGATATAAATGCACCTGGAGTAGTCATTGTGTCTCACGGGGTACAATGGATTTCTGACTCTCTCCCTTCTGTAACACTATGACTCTGTCAGCTTCATTTGTGCACTTTGAACTGTTACTCCTTCTACCTCAAAATATAATGCAAGACAAATTTTAAAAAATATTACTGCACTAAAGTTGAATTAAAACAAAACTGCAAACCTTAAAGTAAACTTTTATTTCTTGAGTCTTGAGTACAAATCCTTAAGTTTCTAGTAACCAATAAATTGAAGTTATTTAGCAATTTAATAAACTTAAGATATATAACATTTATTTACTTTTGCTTACTTTAGTGGTTCCTTTAAAAAAAAAATGGGATGTTTTTCTAGGCTTTTCTAGGTTCTTTAATGATCTTATCAGTACCTACCATGAAGATTTCCAGAAATTTAACTTTTACGCTACAGTCAGGTACAGAATATATTTGTAACATGGTGAGTGCTACCCCCTCCCCCATCCAGCATTAGTCTCCAAGCTGGTTTCCCATCTACTATGTAATACTGTTTTTCAACATCTCACTCCTGCTTTTATGTAAGATTATCCTAACCCTCAACTCACAAATCTTACAATGTAACTGCTACCAAATCTTTTCCCTAGTGCACATTTTTTCCTCTCTCCAGAATATTCCTAGAATCATTTTCCCTTTTTCTCTATCCCACCAATGTGAAAGTGAAAGTGAAAGCAGAGCATGTTTTGGTTCATAAAATCATGAAGTTGATTTAAATGAAAGATTAGTTTTTAAATGAGTTATGAATCTAGAATTCCTTTTTATGCACTCCTCTTTATGGCAAGTATGATAATAAATGCACACTTGCCTCCTGAGAAGGAAAGTCAATATAGAAAGAACAGTTGGCTGAGCTGGCTAGGGAAGGATTGGATACAGACACGAGTTATAAGATGACCACGTCAAACGAGAAACAGCACTCACAAGGATGTAAACTGCAGTCAAGGGGATGGAATTGAAGCGGTGAATATGATGACATTTGGTGACATTTCAGAAAATAATACCACCTGGTTGTGTATCTGGATACAGATGAATAAGAAGCCCTCCAATAATAAAAGAAAGGCAAAAAGAAATGAGGGAATTTCAAAGTGTGGTTGTAGGAAGTCAAAACAGAGTTATGTACTCTATTTGGGAGAGACCAATAAATGTGGAGTTAGACATGCTGGGTCTGCAGATTCTGTAAAGTATAACCAAAGCTGGTCTTCCAGCAGGTGGAAATGTGAGCCTGGTGGTCTAATAAATAATCACATAACCTCTGTACCTAGTTTTCCTGTTGATTTTGTTATTTTTAATCATCCACATATGTTCTATAATGGTTCCTTTTTGTCTTAAGAAAAGTGTTGCTATTTTGCTCTTGAGCAGTTGCTTCATCACACTTTTATTCTTAAGCTAGGCTTTCATAAATGTATACAACACAGCTATTGCATTCTTTCATCCTTATTTTAATGATGATGGTGGATTATTACTTAAAGATTATTACTTTGCTCCTTTATTCTAGGATTATTTCACTTGATTCAACTTTGAGAAAAGCACCAAATATAAATATTTATGTATCCACACACAGAGAGGCTTCAGAAAGTTTGTGGAAAATTTGAACCAAAGTAGAAGCTCATTTTGGTGCAAACATTTTAAAATTCATGCATAATTTTTTTATGATACATATTTTCTATGAAAATTTTCAAGGCCCCTCTTGTTTCAAAATACATTTTTTAAAGGTCCAAAGAACACAAAGGAAGTTTATACTGTCCCTTTAGGCAAAAGCCTGAAACCAAGCAGACAACCTGTAAAAAGAGGACTTGTCTTCTTAGTCTACATACAATGAATTGTTGAAATTTTATAAGCATGATTTTGTCTGTCTGTCTGTCTATCTACCTACCTATTTATTTATTTAGGCCATAGGGCACATGCACTTGCTGGAGAGAGACAGAGGAAAAGCAAGAAATTGCGTTTCTCCCTCAAGATGGCTATGCCACAATCCCTTCTCCTCCATCCTGCTCTCTGGATTTTGAGCATGCATGCACACGTACCCAGTGTGATTGTCAAGCCACCTGATCTGGACTC